ACTTCTTTATGTACAATCAGGACAAGCATTTTCATATCATCAGTACTCAATTGTGCTTTTGTCTTTAATAAGTAACTACATTATATGTATATAGCAAAATTCTTTCAAAATAAATTTATTTAGGACCTACTGTCAAGAGATGTTTATGTGCCCACTTAGAGTATGTGGAATAGTAGATGTACAGGTTCCCAAGACTGCTGTAGCTGCTCTGTGGTGAATATAATAAAGAATGAAAGTTCTAGAGGGAAGAGAGCAGCTTTGGCTTGCTGCTAGTATTCAGGTGATCAAAGATGATGTCTGAGGTGATGCCAGAATATTGGCTGAGGCAGTGATAAGGGAGAAAAATCAGAGTTGCGAGATTTGTGGGTAATCAGGAAGCATTCCCCTTGGCTAAAATCATCTTGGTCACTCTGCTACTTGTTTGAGCAACATAATTTCCAGATGTCACTACACACTTTCATTTAAACCAAATGTGTCAGTCAGTGAAGTCTTTCTGGGTTGTCCCGACTTTCTTAAGTCGTAGTGTGCAGTTGATAGTCTAGTACAAGTATGGAGGCACCTGAATGTCTGAGCTGATTCCCACTGCTAAGTACCACCTGAAGCCTCCTGTATGCATTTACTATATTCCTGTCAGGAAGAGGCACCACTCCATTCTTAGGGCATCCTATTTCACGTGCTGTGATCCATTTGGCTCAGACTCCTTTACTATTCTTGAAGAAATAAACTTTTCCATGAGCCAAACTTTAAAATTTATTTCACAACTCATTTCCAACCTATTTATCTTTGTGTGTTTAAATTTTGGGACTACCTAAACTAACAGAAAACTCCCAAATTCATGAGTAATGCTAGACAAATCTGTAAGGTTGAGAAAAAAGTACAGGGCAGAAGTAAAAGTGGTGTTTCTCACCCTGTCGCTGCCAACTACTCTGTGTCTTTGAAGTTCTTAAAGTTCTCCTAAGATGGTATCTTACCCGCAGAATGAACAACCAAACTATAATGCCCTTTCTTAACTCCATATTAGTATGATCTAAGATTTTCATTTTTAAATATATGTTGGCTATCCACTGCATTCAATTGACTTTACCCCACAGTGAAGAAAAATAAACAAAAAACAAAAGAAGCACTTCTGTACACAGAAAACAGTTACACTCGTATGTTTAGAGCAAAATCTATATTTCACAGATAAGTATTTTTGTAAAGTATTTATCATGCTACATTTATAAACCAGGCACTAGAGGGCCGAATCTGACTGATGGAAATCCCACTTAACATCACTTATGTAATTGTTGGGCTTTGTATGAGATATTGGCTCGTGGAGCCACCTGTTTTCATTCTTTCCTGTTGGTATGAACACTTGTTCCATTGTTCTCCCTAGAGTATTTCATGTGTGCTGAAGGTTCTATTTAAAAAAAAAAGTCTTGGCACTGTGTCTCTGTTCATATCAACAGCTGGAGGGAACATATACTTAGATATACAATGGATCTCTATATAGATTGTTATAAATATAAGTTTGGATCAGCGGAAGTGTGTATGAATATATTTCTACACATGTCTGTGACCTTATTCCTGATGGACTGCTTATATAAACACGAGCTTTTTTGTGTAGTCATCACATATGCAAAAGACTATATATTAACAATGAAGTAACAGGATTCTGTACCTCTCTTTTCACTTCTTCCCCCTTTTCCTCTATCTTTTTATTCCATTTAACTTCATGTCTCCTTCCCTCTTTCTTTCCTTTCACTCTGTATTTCTTTTTCTCAGTCCTTCTCTGGGTCTTACATCCATGTATTTAATCAGTTTCACAAATGTTTTTATTTTTGTCCCTTTTTAAAGACTTTAACCCATGATCTCTGATGGGCTCATTGTTTAAACAACAGATGTGTACTCTCTATTACCATAAGAATATCCTTTCTGACATTACCAGACTCTATGAACACAGAGCTCTATGAACCAGGCTCTATGAACACAGAGAGCACAACTGAAAACTTTCTCCCCAGAATCTAGCCTAATACAGGACACGTACTCAGGACTCTGAAATTATTCCTTCAATATATAGATACACATTTTGGTGAATGGGTAGTTGCATGGGTGTGTGGGTGGATGGATGAAAAGAGAAAGAGTAACTGGATGGTTGGACAGATTGATGAATGGATGGATGTGTTAATGGATAATGGATTGGTAGCTGGATGGGTGGACAGATGGAAGGATGAATAGACAAAGATGGATGATTGATGAATAGATAGTATCTATTGCTCTAAACAGTGGTTTCTTTAAAAAAACAATTGTTATATCACTCTCATGTTTAAAATTTACCATGAGCTCTTCGCTTATTTAATTGTGAAATTCAAGTCCTTTTAATGTGTCATACAAAACACTTCCTGAGGTGAGTTCTGTTTAGCAGCTCTTACAACTTCCTTTTTTATGAAACTGTAAGTCTTCTCAACTTACATTCGTTCTCAACCATCGTCTATACTTTAAATGCTTCCTCACTCAAAGACTTTATTTTCTATTCCCTCATTCCTTCACATGACAATACTCATATATTTGTGAGAATTTAGTAAAGATCCTGTTTCATTTGCATTTTAATACTATCTTATGACATAGGCAACATTAAAGTTGGTAACATAGCTGAAGCTGAATAGTTGGGACCTTATCTCAGCTATAATTGCTTCAAAGCCTGGCATACTGCTTGGACCACCAGTATCCAGTGATAGTCTACTAACTATAAGAGGTTTGCTCAGCTATCTGAAGCTTTGCTTTCTCTTCTATAAAATGAGTTTGCTTGCTACCAGGATACAGAGAGCTAAGGCATGCAATATCCTTGGTGCATTGCCTACATAGGAAGGCTGGTAAGTGTATGAAACCTGATATTATTACTAATGGGTTTTGTGAAACTTATAGTTCTTCTTATATCTAAGAATCTGTCTGTAAAATCCAGACAAGTAGAAGCCTTTCTAAAATTGCTACTTGTATATGCCTATTTGAGCATAATGTTCAGACTTACCTTATCCTTTAGAAAGCACTAGGTCTCTCTGTTGATTAACAAGAAAGCAGAAAGGAATGATGAGTCAAATATATTTGTTATTTTTGTTCTCCTGTGGCTTCCCCAACTGATAGTCATTTTCTCCAAGGATAGGAAAAAGATTGCTTTATCTCTTGCCAGTTCCAGGGAAAGCAAATGGAGGAGGTGGAATGTTCACCTGGCATCAACCACTGGACAGCAGGCTCTAAACTCCCATCTTCTTTTTATAAATACCATATTTGCAAGAGGATAATTGTTAATTGTTGAACAATTACTGATCAAATATCTACTATGTGGAATCTCTAAAGACCAGATACTGTATCGATCAAAGACTCTCAGCATTGAGTAAACTAGAACTGTGAAATAGGGACAGGAATATTCACTGTCTTACAAGACTTTAAATAGGATCTTTTGAGTTAATTACTAACTAGAGAATGTTTTTAATATCCTATAAATTGTTGTTTTGGATAATTGATACTGGGCTCACAAGAGATCCACGTGTCCTCAGAATCCAAATTTTAGAGTCAGAAATACAGTGTATTGCAGAGTAGATAGGAAGACTTCAGTTAGTTGAAGAGTCATTGTGCATTTCCCTTAAACCAAGAGTTACTTCTAGCAAGCATTTACTATTAGTAAGGGATGGACCTAATCAAGATATAGTGGAGAAAATCTTGTAACTATGATTATATCTTCTTGGTCTGCTGTGTTATTTATGAAAATGTTTTTGTGTATTTTTCATGCCTCCATTTGTTCTCTATTTCTCTTCAATTTGCCATTTCCACTTTGTAGCATGTCATTCTCCCCCTATGAGAAAAGATAAGAATTCAGAGGGTGTTAACAACCTTCATGGCAATAACAGTCCCCCACCACACATATACATACACCTATATTTTTAATGCTTATGTTATGGTGGCTGCTGTTACATTGTAATATTACTACATAGTTTTGTAGTAATAAGGTTGCTTTTCTTCCTCTTTATTTAGAAGTATCCAACATACTCATTTCCTAAACAGACACTACTATCCAGTGATACTGAAGGAGCAAATGATTTGACTACTAATACAACTTAAAATTCTCTTATCTTGTCCTCACCAATGATCTCTGTCTCTCACTGGACTCCCCTGAAATATGACTGCTTTTCTCAGCAGCACACACAAAAAAAAGTTTTCTGTATGGGTGACCTCATCAGGGAAGAATTTAGAAATTGCTTCAGACTGAGATCAGTAGAGATGAAGCATCCTTTTTCTAAGGAAAAGTAGCAACATCACATTTTTCTTTTCCGACTCCCCTGTCCTTGAATGAAAGGGGACATAACTCAGAGAAGCTCAGTGGTATGGAATGATCTCATGCAGGGAAATGGAGGAGTAAAGATAAATGGCCCCAAGTCTGACTTGTAGCTCTGTCATTCACAGTTTAATCTTTTCCCAGGATTCCTGTCTAAGACATGTATCCTTATCTTCTGCTAGTTATTTTCTGGTGCTTCTGATAAGTCTAAGCAGGTTCTACCAATGTCATGAGACTTCTGGGACTCTAATTCTAATGATTACTGCATCTAGCAGGGACTTCATGGTATAAACTTTGTTCAATTAATTCTATACTTTTAAACCTTAATTGCATCATTTAGAAAATGGATCCATTCAAGAATTAACTAAACCCATGGGACATAAAGGTGTTTAGCAAAATATCTCTTCTTTGTATATACAGCATCAAAGCCTCCCAATGTAAGCTTAAGAAAGAAAGTTTGAGCAGTTTCTTTGTGATAAAACACTTGAACTTTACTTCAAACATTGAGTTACTCATCTGAGATCTGTTTTACAGGGTTAGGGATGAACTGAGTTCTCTACACACAGCAGATTTCCACGACTCTTTTATCTCTAAGTTCTCACCAGTCATATCTTTTTGTGTGTGTGTGTCTATGGGAAACTATGAAAACTGGAACGTAGCAAGAACTTATTTGCACCTCTTTTCTCTATAGGTCACCCAGATGTTGAACAACCCTGTAAATCCAGTGTTCGAACCTGGAGTCCAAATTCAGCTGTCAATCCACACACAGTCCCTCCAGCCTGCCCTGAGCCACAAGGCTGCTACCTCGAGCTGGAATTCCGCTACCCCTTGGTCCCTGAGTCTCTTACTGTCTGGGTAACCTTTGTCTCCAGTGACTGGGACTCTAGTGGAGCTGTCAATGACATCAAACTCTTGACTGTGAGTGGAAAGAACATCTCTTTGGGTCCTCAAAATATTTTCTGTGATATCCCACTTACCATCAGACTCCGGGATGTGGGGGAGGAGGTATATGGCATCCAAATCTATACTCTTGATGAACATCTGGAGATTGATGCAGCCATGCTGACCTCTACTGTAGACAGTCCACTCTGTCTGCAGTGTAAACCCCTGCAGTATAAAGTGCTCCGAGACCCACCTCTGCTGGAAGATGTAGCTTCAGTTCTCCACCTCAACAGAAGATTCGTGGACACGTAAGTGCATTCTCCCTCTCAGGAGTTGAAAAAAACAACTGATGGGCTGTTGAAAGATGTGAGGAAAGTCATAAGGTCCTGGCCTTAAAGGAGAAAGTTTATCTCCCTCAGACTTATTTCTTGAGATTGCATCCCAGCGCTGAGTGTAGAATTCATGTTAATAAGACACAGTTGATATAATAGGAAGGACAATGGATGGGGTCAAAAGGGTCAGAGGTCAGGACAGTCTTCTGTAATACTCATTCATCTCTCTAAACCTTGATCTTTTCAACAGTAAAAAAGGGGAGAGTGGATGGGGTTGGCAATGATAAGTTCTTTATTACTAATGAAGATTACTTTTCTGATAGAACAGAACTTTGCTGGTGATTTACGTTTATATTAACTTGAAGCAGATTTGTGCATTCTGATTGTTTCTCCACTGTATGAAAATGTTGGGTGAAGCAGCAGCTTCAGGGGAACTTGGGCACATGCCTAGGCAACCGCATGAAAACATTCCTAGACACTGAATACCTCTAGTCACAATCTTTCTGCTTGTTGTATTTCCTGAGGTAGAAATGAGTTCCTTACTTCTTTGATCACTGAAGACCTTACAGCTGTCAGGATCCACTGATGCTTCTGAGGGTGAAGGCATGGCTGTCTTTAACATTTACACTATAAGCATTTTTCTGCCATTTTCTTACCATTCTCATGGTATGTGCCTTTTAAAAATGAAAAACACCTGTGGAGTCATTAGTATTGTGTTTGTCTGTGTGTGTCAGTTTCCTGCTGTTGTGACAAAAAAAGAAAATCATTGTCACTTGGACATTTTCCGACTCATCATTGCTAGAGCCAGGATAGTAGATTCTGGTAGGGAGCATACAGTAGGGCAGAGATGTTTGACTTACACAGTCATCAAAGCAACAAGAGAGCTTCATTTTATCATAGGGTCCATTCTCCAGAGATCAGTAAGTTTATGAATCCATGAATATATTAGTCTTCTTATAATATCAAAGCCTTTATGATCCACTCTCCTCCCAAAGGCCGCCACCTCTGCATTCTGCTTCAATGAGAGCTAAAGCTCTGATACATGAACTCTCTGGTGACATTTAACGTTCAAACCATAGCATCCTGTCGACCTGACAGAAGGCTATAATAAAGGCAGTGTCACTCACTCATTTCATGCACTCTACAACCACAGCCCTACTACAGTCATTATCAATTTGCAAAGAAGGGGAAAAGAGACACTCAGACATGAGGTCACTTATTTGGAGAGCGGTGGGAAGGAGATTGGAATGCAAGCCCAAGTCAGTGGGTCCAACTTATGTTCCATTAAAAGATTTGCTTGAACTTCTATTTTGGTCTTAAGAAAAAAATGGTGGAGACTTAACTGCCTAATTTGAGTGTGAAGAATTTGTGCAGTCAATCAACAACACTTAGATAACACTTCATATGTGTGAGAAATGCTGGTTGGAACATTTTGAATAATGAAAAGAAGCTCAGGAGGCAGATGCTTCATATTTAGCCCTAGTCCACCCACTTATTAATATCAAGTAATTGGTCACCCTCTTTGAGTGCTCATTTCTTCTCTTTTTGATGGAAATACTGACCTGCATGACTTCTATAAGTTTTGTGTGGCTCTCTATTCAGTTCTAAGATGATGTGAGACACGATCTCAACTTTGTGTACTTGAAAATATTTACTAAACCCATCATTAATGGAAACCAAATTCTGGAAAGAAATTTTTAATCTTTTTAAGAGATAGGACCACTTTCAAACACTTTAGCAGCACTTCCTTTTAAACGCCAGCAATTAATGTGCACATCTCAGGAAAAACCTTGCCCATTCATTGAGTGAGAGATGAAGAACATCTGTTTAAGAACTCAGAGGAAACACTAGGTTTGTGTTTGAGAGTATACTTAAAACTTAAGTATGTTGTCTTTCCATGAAAATATTCCATAACCCTGTCTCATCCATCCCTCACTTGTCTGAACTAGTAAAGTTCTGTAAATTTGTAGCCACTTAAGATTTCTTTATAAAATAATAGGGGAAAGAAATAAGAGATTCCTCACAACCTCAGTTTAAGCATAGCTTTCAATTTTTTTTTTTTTTTGCCTTGATTTATGAGCCTGTGAGAACTGACATGGGTTGATAAGTGCAGAATGGTGGAAATGAAACAGAAGAAGAGAGATATCCCTAATTCTCTTCTCTGCTGCATTTCTAACTCACTCTCTGGCCTTGGATGAGTCACTTAGTCTTTCTGGTCCTTAAAGGTCTCAGTTCTGTAAGAGTGATGTTGCTCTCAAGTTGTAGATTTTAAATTAGGTTGATCCTTTCAAAATATTAAGATCCTTTTAAACAGCTTAGTTCTCACCTTCTGTCTCTCCTGCCTCCCTCCTTGGTGTTGGTTTAATATTAAGAGTGAGCTCTGATGATCATGACTTGTAAACATCTCATGATGTGATTATAATATAATAAAGTTTCTGACCCACTACTCTTAAGCAGTCTCCTGGCATGGGATTGTAGAGCTGCATCAGCCTCACTTGGGAATCCAGAAAGGCCAGGTTCTCAGGCCCTGGTCAGCCTATTGGATCAGAAATCCCATGTGCAGGGTTTCTCCAGGTGATTCTCTTGCTGGTTAAAGTTTAACAGCTACAGCTCTTGGTGAGTTCTCAGGCCCAAGAATCACAAAGTTTTCTTTCACTCTTAAGCTATTCTTTCCATTTACAAGTAAGAATGGAGAGTAGTATATGTAGCCTTCTATACAGGGAACTGGAGATGCCAAAAATTACTCAGACTGGCCCCTTCAATGAAAGCATTGAACATGAGGTCTCAGGAGAGGCCATCCCTTGGCTTCTGGGACAGAAACAGTAGTTCTTATGCCACCTCACATCCAAAAGCCTTGCTGTTAGGCCCACACAACAGTATACAGTTTGGTTTTTAGTTTGGTTTTTGGTTTTTGGTTTTTAGTTTTATCATTTGGTAGCCAAACTCTTTATAGTCACCTAGTATGTGACAAGTGCCAGACTGAAGGACTGATTAACCTTCCTGTTTGCCTTTAAAGATTATTTTTATTTTATGTGTATGTTTTGCCATATGAACATATTTGTACCACAAGTGTACCCACAGTGGCTGGAGGAAAGCATTGGCTCTCTCAGAAACAGGAATTACAGAAGGTTGAGAGCCACCATGGGGTGCAGGGAGCAAAGCTCAGGTCCTCTAAAAGACCAGTGAGCACTTTTAACCATTGAGCCATCTTTCCAGCACTGCCAATTTACCTTTCTGGAGAGCCACCAAAAATTTCTTGGAAACTAATGGTGGTTTGGACTGGGCTTTCTCAACTGAATATATTTAGAATCACTGACAAATCAAAGGAAAATCCAAAACCCTGAGTCCATCTACCATTTAAACTCGTCTGTTATCTGTCAGTAATTTGAGTATCAAACCCCACTCAATTATGTGTGTGCAAGAGAGTAAGAGAGAGGGAGAGAGAGTTTGTTGCTTTTAAGTTTTTTCACATCATGTAAATTGGCTTTTATACAAGTTCTATATAAAAGCTGTTTGGGAGAAAAGAAGAAAGGGGTTCCTTTTTCTTCTGACTCAACCCATTACATGATTCCCTTTGACCTTAATCTCCATTTTTTCTCCCAACAAAAATATTTATTCTTTCTGTTATCTGCACTAGAGATAGTTTCATAAGGTATGACACTGATGGAGAGGGCCTTCTGTGCTTACTCCATGGAAGTTTCTGGTAGACGGATGACTTTTGGCCAGGAAGAGAAAGAAATGTGGAATGGTTCCATCTTCTTGAGGGGAGAAAAAGAAAGAAGAAAACACAACATTGTATGAGAACTAACACTTGCAGACTTAAAGGGCCAGAACCAACTTTGCTAATAACTAACTAAATCAGCACATGACACCAAGGCACATTTTGTAACCTTTTGGGCCTTAGTTTTCATCTCTATAAAATACAAAATGAATGGCCAGCACATTAAGATTTTGTGTACAGACAAATCTACCCAGAAAAGGTACCTTAGGTGAAAAGTGAGTTTTATACATTTTTGCACTAAAACATTCAACAGGGATTCCTTAGAATAGTTAGTCTTTATGAGACTCTAACTGGCTCAGAAAACCTTACTTATGTAGGTTATCTGTGAGCAATAACACACTTTTTTTTTTACTCTGGCTCAAGTGCCTTTTATACACTTAAAAAGCAAGAAAGTCAAACCTCTAAATGATGGAACCCTCCTTGAATGTCTATGAAATGTATAGCCAGGTTCAAATTCCAGATCTAATTCCAAATTCTCATGCCTAACCACTCTATAGCATACTCTCATATCAGAAGACACAGTTTGGAGCTTGAGAAATTCACTGAATTGTAAGGCTTTCTAAGTACAATATGTATATGTATGTGTATGCGTATGTATATGAGATTACTAGGCAGAAGACACCAGCCAACAATTAGGCACCAGTGGCCTGCTGGTGTGGTCAGAGAATACAAATTACACAGCTGATTCTCTATGACCCTGGATGGATGTGGAAAAGACAGCAGATTTTCTTTTTGTAAGATTTCTTGGCTTTGATACAGTCCTTAGATTCTCCCAAAATGAAAACACTGTATAAAGCTGATAGATAGATAGATAGATAGATAGATAGATAGATAGATAGATACATACATACATACATACATACATACATACATACATACATCGATAGATACATAGATAGATATACAGATAGATGTTATATAGCTGCATAAAGTGGTATTAAATCAAACCAGGGATAGCAAATAGCTGCTCACTCATTCGTCTTTGAATCTGTTTATTTCATCCATCTAACAATTCATTCCACAAATATTCATTGGCTATCTATTTGGTGCTATACTCTGTGTTTAGAAATGAAGATGAAGTGGTACTAATTTCTCAAAATTCTCAGGCTACATGGAAAACAATGTTACATCTGTAAATGATGCTTTAATGGACAGAGACTCCAAAAATTGAAAAAAAAATGAGATCTGAATTTAG